GCCATTTTGAATGATTATCTATCAAACACAAACAATATTTATGTTTCCTTCCTGAAGGAGGTGAAATTTCACCAATAATATCTATATTTACTGTATGAAAGGGATATGGCGCGCGAACAATAGGAGTAATCGGAATTTTATCCGATTGTCTTTCCGGACTTTTTAATTGACATCTTTCGCATGTTCTACAATAATTTTCTACATCTTTGGATATGTTCGGCCAATAAAATGAAAGCTTAATTCTTTCTTTAGTTTTCCTCATACCTAAATGATTTCCGAATATGGAATCATGAGCTAATTGAAGGACTTTATTTCGATAATTCTCGGGCAAAACTAACTGTTGTATGTTTTCCCCACAAATTTTTTTCTTTATGAAATAATAATTCGTCCTGTAAAAAGAAATTATTCTTCCCTACTTCTGCGTCCTTAAAAGAATTTATTAACGTTTGGCAGTTTCTCTGATCGACCTTAAATTTATTCGATTCCGAATAACTGTTTAGTCTTTCATCATTCTGATTCGCAACTGAGCTATAAAAAAAGATTTACATTTGACAGTTCAACGGCGCCAACCTCAAGTTGTTTTTGTTTTATGAGTTTCCGGTTTCGTCTCGGGGAAGACTGTTGATTCATTCTCGTCTTCAAATATGCGATCCCATACATCTGGTGTAATTAAACATTGGACATTTAGCTTATCTGTCAACGCGAAAAGAGCTTCTACGCGCGAATATAGACAACTGTTTGGTTTTTTTGTAATAAATGGGAATAGTTGCTAACGTTGCCTCTATGACGTCGCCAAATGCGGAACTTAAAATGATTTTACCCTTACTTTCTATTTTTAAATCAGGAATTAATGTAGTGTTCAAAATTGGTATTTCCGTACCTGAATCTTTTATAGCTTCTACTTGCTTCCCTGCAATGTAAATAGTAATCTTTTCCAAGGAATAAAAATTAAGTTTTCCGTCGGAACACTCGGGTTTTTGTAAATGTTTAGAATTTACATTTGTAACAACCGCATTGTCCTTCGGTTTAGTTGAAGTGTTAACTTTCGGTTTGACCGGGATATTATCGTTCTGTTTATTGGACCTCTCAAATTTATTTCGCCTGTTCGGGCAATCCTTAGCCAAATGTAAACTGCTACTACACACGTAACATTCTCGCGGTTTAAACGAATGTTTCTGTTCATTTACCACTAAATCTTTTCTTAGCGCTGGTGGAATATATTTAGAGTTTTTTTTGTATGAATCACGAAAATTAGCGCGTTTTTCACCTCTTATGTCATCAAAAGATTTAACTTTTGCGATGAAATAAGTGTCGCATTCCTTCGCTAGTTCTTCTGGACGGAACCAACTTTCACCTTGTCGAACTGCAACATGGCACGCTAAATCACTATCCAATGTTTGAAAAAGTTTGTCAGAAATTATTAAGTTAATTAAAGACTCAAAATCATTGACGTTTCTACTTTTACAATAATGGATCCAACATGATCTTAAACGAGAGGCGAACTGCAAATGAGTTTTCCCCCGTCAACCTTTGAGCTTGGCGAAAATTTTCTAAACATATAATTGGCGATGGTTCATATTCCTTAAGAATTAAAGATTTAATTTTTTCATAATCTTTCAAATCATCATCTTTAATATATACTAGAATATTAGAAGATTTATCACCTATCAGTTTAAGTAAAATTTCAGACTTAAACTCATTTGGTACGTTCTTATGCTTAAAAGCCCTTTCTATGGAATCAAAAAATAAGTTCCATGCTTCACCCTTTTTAGGTACAGAAATCGATAATGCCTGTACAGCTTTCAAAAGCTTATCTAATGAAAGTGTATTTTCTACGTTATTACTAGATTCGTTGCTACTTTCGATTTGCATTAAACGCAATTTCACAATTTCTTCTGACTTTTTCCTTTCTTCAACCGTAGTATTAAGAAATTCAATAACAAAATCTTTATCTTTCAAATATTCTTTAGAACTTAAAAGCTTATCTTTTAATTCTACAACTTTTAAACTAGAATCGGCTTCTTCACCTAGTTCCTTCAACACCGAAATCAAATCACTTTTAACTACTCCTTTAAACATATTTAGAAGAAATTTTCCTTAAAGTTACAACAAAAATTTCTCACCTTTTCTCCAAAATCCAGTCGGCTTCGTTAGCTCTGGTTCTCGTAAAGAGAGCGTGCTGTAATGACCTTACGGATGAATAAGGCACCATAAGGAAAACGACACCAACATTTATTAAAAATTAACTTTCAAAGAATAATGGTAAAAAATTAACATTTAAAGAATAACGGCAAACTCGGAGCACTACCTCGCTCCTACAACATAATTAACCTACCACCTGCCTCCTCTGAGGCTAACATGCAACTGTTGTCTCTCTCACTTGCTGGGCTCTGCCAGGCAGCTGATTGGCTCACCGCTGCCAGATACATGACAGTCGCTGAACACTGGTAGTTCGGTCCGAGGTTCGAATCCCGCGAACGGGCTGGCTGCATGGGCGTTTTCGTGGTTTTCCCCATGTGTAACGTGTATACGAGCCAGTTTCCCTTAGAAAGTCCTCCACGAAGGCATCCCTCCTCTTAGGCAGATAGCCCTCGAGGCTTTGCCATAATTACATACACACACGCACACACACCTATACACGGTTTGGCTTATTTTTGAGGGAGTTATCGCGATTTTTGTGATTTTTCCTTAATTTATGATAACCAGTGTAGAAGATAGTGTACTTAAACGACTTAACTGCGCTAAATACACAAACTATCAGAACCATTCTAAATTATTTAATTATAATAGTTAAGAAACTTTGTCAAATCTTAGAACATTGATTTAGATAATAAATACAGAAACTGAATCTGCAAATAAATTAAATTTAATAATTAATCTTATATTATCAGCAGCAGGGACATGATACGCGATATACGGAGAGTTCCGATACGTGCTGTATGTTATACCGCGAGGACGAAGGAAGCAGCATTGAATGCTTGCGAACATTTCATGAAAACCTTATTATTTATTTTATTTTACTTACAAATGCCTGGTTTTTGGCACTTGCGCACTACTCGTCTTGTTTCCCAGTACTTTCGGTCGACAGAATTAAAATTGTTAAGTGCAGAGTATGTGCTTAAATGTTGTTTGTCCATAATCCCAAAGAGAACGCAATGAAGAATTCCTGAATCTAACGTGAAGAAGATGAGCGTTGATGTCGTGTCCAATCAAAAGACAAAGTGATGACACAGCAATTGCAGAAAGAGAATTGAGGATATTATAGCCCATGTCCAACAGACATTACCAAGAGTTTCCTTCACGTTGATGCAAAAATTTTAATTATGAATCTTGCTAAATTTCATATCAATCTGTTAGCAGAATAAAAGTTCATAAAATTTCTCGTTTTGGGAAGACAACCATTCCTTTCTTTGCGAGGGATTTGTCACACCCGTTTCCTTTCAACAAAACCTTGATGTAGCTAGAATTACTTCGCCTTTTGTAACACATATGTATTAAATTTTTTTTAATAAATATAATAAACATATGTATTCAGTACAACACATTGGCATCGGATGGTAATTTTAGAGCCAATTTTGCTATAATTAGAAATGCAAAATGGTCGAAAACTACGATATAGGTCTTTTCATAGTTGATGGAATTTTTGCAGTTTAGTATCATCAAGTAATCCTCGAATACTTTAGCATACAGGTGATTCCTGGGATATACAAATGGAAGTTCTTCCAGTACTGTGCACCTTTTTAACGATAGTGTCAAATTACCATGAATTAGCGCTTTGAATGAATGATGTAAGTAGCCCAGAATTATTTATCGAATTTTATAATTTCTAGTTCTGATGTAGTGAGACAGACTACATCAGCTTAGAAGCATACACGCTTACAATCTCCACATTAGACTGTCACATAATGCAAGTGTAGCACATAAATAAAAGTGACATATTTTCCCTGATAACGAATTTTACTGAAGACGATTGACACTGACCTACAAATATTGTAACCGAACAGGAAATTTGATGCATACAGATGCATAAATCTGTTTTTTAGACAAAAATTACTTTTCACATTTTATCGCAGTCTATCACGAAATTTACATCTTAAGACACAAAATGGTTTTACAGTTTATTTCTTCGTATTTCTATTAATAACATTTGCTTTTTAACAGAGACGTAGCTAAGGTTTTCAACGCCCAGGGACAACTAAAGATTTTGCGCCCCTTTCTGTGTTTTCAGAATGAAAAACATTGTAAGGATTATGTTAATTTTATTAACAGTTAAATTTTAAGTTCCTTTCCTATCAAATTCTTAACTTCAACTTTACTACTTCCGGCCAGAACGCAGTTTTGGAATCTTGCTGAATATTTAATGAGGAGGAGCGGTATTTAAACCACGAAGTTACAGAGTCAGAGATAATCAGAGTTTCTGATTTACACGCGTCTGCCTTTTTGGCCACTATTTCTCTCTCTCAAAGCTGTTATTACGCTCGGCCGTACTCAGGTCTTTGCTAAGCTTCGTAGTCAATAAGTTAAGGGGACAACTCGATTTGAATCTTGATAGCTTCGGCTATATTTCTTTAGTTAATCTTAGTTTTAGTTTAATTCTTAGTCTCTTAAGTTCAAGCCCAAGTGTCGGCTTTGTTTGTACACTCCCAGGCGGAGTTTTGTTAAATCTTATTGGAATAATAAAGGATTAGTTACCCTTCTATCTTGTTGTTTCTTGCCACACGAACTGATGCGATTATTCGATGTCTAGTTCTTAAGACTCGTCACTTTCTACAGTAACTGAGATTTACACAGTGAAAGTCTTACAACATTTCATTCTAAAATTTGTAGCATCAATTTGGCGCCCCTTGGATGCTACGCCCTGGAACAGTTTGTCTCCCCTTGCCTCACCCTACTTACGCCCCTGCTTTCTAAGTGCTATAAAACAAATTCATTCAAAAATTCAAATCGTATTTCCTGATTTAAGAAAAGTGATGTTATGTTATTTTAAAAAAGCTACGTGATTACAGATAAAATTTGCACTTTTTTAATGTTGATTCTTTCGTTTTATTACACAAACTTCGCATAGTATAAAAATATGACAGAATATTAATTATTAATACAGAACGTATACAAATGTATAAAAAGGAGCATGAATGCATTAAAATTTCTTAACAAGTGGCAATCATTCCAAAGCACCGTTCTACTTGGAGAGATGATTATGTTAGGAATGCTTTTTATTCTTCTTGTTGCTATTCATTATCAATTCATTTAGCACAGTCTTTTCAGTGCTTTACCTCAATTCCACCTTTGTTTACCTGATCAATATAATGCTCTTTATTAAGAAAAAATGGTATGTAGTGTTTATTATTATTTATAGGGCCTAAAGTTCCGCCAAGTTCTTCTGGAAGAATTTCGGGTGGCACAAGCTTGTGAAATTCTGTCAAATCACTAGTATGAACAAACACCTGAAAAGTAAGCAGAAATTTACTATGCATGTAAATTTTGATTTATGAAAAATTACAAAGTATTTGTAAAGTGAACTATTTAACTTGATAAACAGATTTAGAAACCATTTTTTTCCTCTCAGGATTTGATAAGTTAAACATTATATCATATTTTATAATGTAATAAATGTAATAATGTAATATTCTGGTAAAAATTCTATGTAATTGTACGCCGGAAATGAAAGAAACAATCAATCTGATAAGAAATGGCTGCGATTTGTTTTGAAAATGAGGTGCGAAAGGTTACCAGCGAGAATCATGAAAACTTTCTTACCTCCATGGCGAGAATATTCCGTTTAGCATCAGTTGTACTATTATTGGCGACTTTATCGCCTGCCCCGGCAAAACAAAAAAGTACCAGATATTCTAGTGGTGGTAATTTACCTCTTAGTACCTTACTGTTATTGTATTGCCTAGCTATTTAGAACACACTGAAGGTATTACAACTTAATTTTAATTTTGTGTTGCATTTAGTAACATTTTAAAAGCATTAAAAATTATACCTTGTATTGTGTATTGACTTCGATCAAGCAATTGTTTTCTATTCTAGTCGTTTCTTTAATATTTGCTTGTATGTATTCTATCGTATACGTCAGTGGTCTTAAAACTTGTCGATTCATAGAATGCTTAGAACTGTACGGTTTTTTTTGGGGAATTTCATATCATCCTTAGAAAAATATATCTTAAAATAATATTTAAAATAGATCAATATGTTATAGGTACTTTGTAGAGACAACTAAAGAAAAGTGTTGTATTTTTTATTAAAAAAAATTTCTTAACGTTCTTAACGCGGTTTTCGCGAATGCAAAAACCACGTTTTGAACACACAATTTAAGCTAAAAATCCGAAACAAAAACAAAAAATTTAGATAGCAAAACCTTAAAGTTTCTAACCAAAATTATTTGACAAGAGTCCATGTGCACAGCGATATGTTTTAACTTGAAAAAAACATCTATGAATGGCATAATCTAGGCAACGAACGAATCTACGAACTACGCACACCTCGCTTTAATAAATTAACATAACAACAATAAATTTCAAACAATACCACTTACACAGCGTCCTGTTTCAACTTAAAAAAACATCTACGAATTGTGCAATTTAGACGGTATGCACTAATCAACAAAATAACGACAGAAATTCATACTAAAAAAAAAAAAATGAACATAACATTCTACAAAATAAGAACAAGAATAAAATAAAACGCACTTACCATGAATTAATGCTTTTTCGAATAGCAGAAATACCAATTTCATACCGCAACGTAATCACTATCGTATTTATATGACAGCCAGACACACTATCCAGAAAATTCATACTACGGTTCGCAAATAAATAAAATAACAAATAATCACAAATCCCTACTTCTATCATGCACAGCCACTAAAAATAACTCCCAGACCCTCTTTGCACACCTCCAAATACCCAGTGCCCCTCAACAGGATGGCCACGACGATATTTCCTTTTGTCGAACTTCAATTCAACAACTTCCACCATTTTATCTTTCCCCCTTAACTTCTCAAACACAGAGCATGATGCGAACCAAGGAACTCCAGCAAAAGATTTTTCAACAGGGTTGCCATACAACACGCAATCGCGCCAAAAACCAGCGCAGAACACATATCGCCATATTTGGTGAAATTAGGGAGCATATCAGAGTTGTACCAAAACGGAAAACATAAAATTAACGCAGATTAGTCATTAATAATAGTAACTCGTGCTCCAGGTGTCACCTACTCTTACATTACATTTAGTGACAGGATTTTTTGCTTATTACGTGCTCCGCTCTTAGGCACTACACGGAAAGGGAGAGATGCCCCGTGGATGTCTTTTTTTAAGGGAAACTGGCTTGTACCGACGTTACACATGGGGAAAACGACGAAAACGTTCATGCAGCCAGCCCGTTCGCCGGGACTGGAAGCCCGGACCGAACAACCAGTGTTCAGCGGCTTTTACCGCTCGGCCGCTGGTGGGCACTAGTGACAGGGTCGTGCTTGCATGTTTTACACAAATTGTCGAAGTCCAAATCTATTCATATTATCTGCAGTCGTATATCATATTTAATTTGTTTCTCTGTTTCTCGGTAGGGGCATTTAATTTGTTTCTCTATCTTATTTTTTGTTGCCACATACGTTGAGAAAGATTTTTCACTTGAATACATACTTCTGAATGGTATTAATATTGTTGCCAAATGCCCAGGTGCGGTAAGCTAGCTTCCCTGCAAAGTGGAGATAGGGTTGCCAGAAAGTGGCAGGAAAGGCACGGGTGCCAGATTTAGCGCGAAATCTCCCATTTGGCGACGAAATTGGCGATATGCTATAGACGGAGCGAGAACATTCTAGAATAAGGTGACCAGATTTTAACATTGGTAAAGCGGGACACCATTGACCGGGGAGGGCATATTTCACAAGTGCACATCAGCGTAGCCACCGAGGGAAGGGTTTCGAAAATGGACCAATGAGCTTCTATTGCTCTTGTGACGCTAAATCTTCGTGCATGTGAGCGTTTACGTTTTAATTTGTATTTGCTTCGCAATTATAAATTTATGGCGTAATAGTAGAAAATCCCGTAGTAGTACTTCGTTTTATGATTTTAATTAATCGCTGACATTTCACTTTCGTGATTTTAATCACGCATTAATATTTGGATTGATGTTCACGGCATATTAACGCTCTTTACATCGAAAAAAGTGACTCAAGCTACAATTAGCCTCGAATATTATGCATTTATTATTTGTGGATTAAGAGAATTCAAGTGTATAGTTCTTTTTTTTTTTTTTTTTTTTTTTTTTTTTTAATTGAGCTGAGAAGGACTGGAAGTGTTACAATGAATATAGTGTTTTCTTATTTCAGTGCTTGCATTCTTTTGATTTTGAAAGTGTAAGATGCAGAATACATATTGTGTGTGACACGATTATATCCATTGTTAGTATTATATATTATATCTGAATAAATTGAATATAAGATGCAGAATACATATTGTGTATAACACGATTATATCCATTGTTAGTATTAAATGTTATATCTGAATAAATTGAATATATTCGTTGTGACTAAGATAAATTCATTCTGTTTGATGAGCATTGCTTGTCTAGACAGTACATTTAAGAGTGAGCAGTTATTAAATGTGAAATTTAACATACTAAATATATACGAATGCAAATTAGTAAAGTTTACTTTGAATAAATTTCTGTATTGGCTATTATTATAAAACATCTTTTTTCATATAGACTGCAATAAAAAGGGCTGACTTCTATTTACAAAATATATAATTAGTGCAAATATTTTTCTCCTATGCATAGTTTTATATAAAGATAGCATTTGGGCTCAGATGTTTATCACATATTTATTTCTTTGTGTTACTTACCACTTATTAAGTAATACTTCACATGGATATTTTTGGGGGGTGTCCAACATTTATTTCAAATTCTTTTAACCAAGTAGTGAAATTTTCACAACTGCTTATATTTGATCTAACTTCGCAATGAAAATTTTCAGAAGTAATCGACGATGCTTTAATTATTTTTTACAGAAAATTGCGTGGCAAAACGTTTTCAAACACATTAAAGCACGCGAAAGGTCATGTGACATGACAGAAATATTACTGGATCCTCATTGGTCCATCCTAGAAGCCACTCCCTCGGTGGCTACACAGATGTGCACTTGTGAAATATGCGACCGGGGGGTGATTAACATTTGGTCTATACAGAGTAACACAAATTTTCATAGAACGAAAAATGGTATTGTAATATATTTTTAAAATTTCAACATAAATACAATTTACAAATACATTAAAAGCAATTACGTATAGTATTACTTTATTCTTTGGCATATTTCTCGCTTAAGTGAATTTTGTTTAGTAGATTGCTGTCGTTGTTTGAAAGGTCGTAACATTTTTCACAAGAATTTATTAAATTATACTTCACACATAAAATGGTTTTCAAAGTCTCAACACTTAATTGTGATTTTTCTTATGTCTGCACTTTATTTATCGTAGAAAAAAAGAGCTCAGTCACAACATTAGTTCCTGGGGTATTCCACAGTTTTGAGTGCATTATTGTATGGAACATGGTTTGTTTCAAAATGATGAAATATTTCTAACCATTTGTTTTCTACTGTGATTTTCGCTGATGTCCAAGATTTAACCTTTTCCTTATCAATATATTTTTAATAATGATATCTAATTAAAAAGATAATTTTCAGAAATATTACTATATGGGAAATTTTGAGTAATATGATCGAATGAATTTTGCACATTCCAATTAAGTTCTTGTTTTAATATATTCCCTAGCTTGTCATGCATTTTTTCTAAAAATCGGGACTTTATTGAATTGCCGCGGGACGCGGGTCAAACTGTTAAAAATCGGGACGTCTGGTCACCTTATTCTAGAACGAAATCTTACCGGTTTTCCCGAGAATGTTCTCGAAGGCAGGTCGAAAGCTAAATATACCCTGCCTTTTCTCGGAGTAGGAGTTCGAGTGGACGATCCGCTGCAGAATCGACTCAAGGAACCGATTTCCTTAACGAATAATCAGCGCTCCACCGAAAACGAAATTGCAGTTCTTTCAGTTCACCGAGAGCCGTTGTTAAGCGTGCCAAAAATTGGATTCCTTTTAATGTAAACACTAGCAGTCTTTCCTTTATTATTTACCGGAAACATCTCTGACCTATTCTTATGTGTACATGTGTGTTATGTATGTATATATGTATGCTTTTGGCTTGCTTGTGTTCTATCTAGTGTTTAAAAAATAAAACATTAAATAAACCGACGCATCTCTGCGAAACTGATCACCTCTGTTTGCGAATGGATGGAGTTCTTCCTTTCCCATCTGTAGGCCCGCGCCGACAATAGGTGCAGGGTCGTGCGGCACACGAGGGCGTTGTGTCAAAATGGCGCCGGGTAGTCATAAAAACAAGCAGAACGTTATGCTGCCTGCCCGAACAGGAAAATTATAGCTTCT